ACGAGAAATAATATCGACTTTCGGCCGATAGATGGAAGCACCTATCAGACTAGTGAAATTAGATTCCTTCTATGGGAATTTGGCTCCTAATCATTAAATCCCATTAATAAAGTATTATACATGATTGCATTTTACCTACAAAGTTTTCACCAATGTATAATTTTGAATTTTCTTTTTTTTGATAATTAGTTTATTACAATTTCGTTACCAATTTCACTAACGATAAAAAGTTACTTTATCAAACTTCGTCTCTATTTTGTCTAATGTAATAACTCCTAAATCATTTCGCTTGTTATTGGCTCCATTGTTAGAAACGTTTTCGTGCCAGGGTTGTCTTCTTAATGATTCGACAATAACCAGTGTCCCGATAATGGCGAACTGTACAGACACTAAAACTTTGGTAAATAAATACGTATAGGCTTAGTGTCGGTATAAACATTTATGATACTTTGAAATACTAAACCGATTATTATTTTATTGAACACTGACACACACAATGTATTTATTTGAATAGCTTCGTTTGAGTTTGCTACTGATCATAATTTTTCTTTTTTTCTGTTACAAATTAATTTTTTACAATAAGAAATGATTTATTTTCAAACATTTAAGACGCTATATTTATATTGTTTAATGTTTATTTAAGTATAAAAACCTTCTTTAACGTTAAAACCTGTGTATTAAGAAGAATCGGCCAGCGATTAAAACGTCGTATTTGTTTTTAAAATGTTCTTCTTTACTCTAAAAGCTGTAATAAAAAACATTAAGTTCACTCAAAAAGAAACTATTAATATTGTTTCCAATTATTAAGTTCAGTGTTTGTTATTAAGACCTCGGTCTTGTATCCAATACAGGGATCAAATTCCGAAATTTAGCGTTAAAAGACCACAGATTAACGGTTAAGTCAACAGTTAATTTTTAGAAATCGCTCTTAAAATTTTAAAAGGAGCGTATTCTGCACCATAGTTACTCACCAGGAGGCTCTGTTTACAAATCTTACAAGAGATGTCGCTATCAGAATGAGAACTCCAAATCTAGCTGGTAGCATAACCATTGTAATACTAATCCTGGTGGAGTGGCGATATATTTTATTATCTGAAGAATAACAGTTATTTTTCTAACATTACTAGATAGCCTAGCTAGTTGAAGTTTGTCTTCAGTTCCTTTAAAACAGAAAACATGTGTGATTACTTTCAGGTCCTTGCGATCGACTAGAAAAACAAACCTGTGGTCCAGAATGTCAGAACAAAATACTAGTTGATGTGGTGCTCTATTACAACTTTGTCTGGTTGACATTTCTACGTCCTTTAACCATACTGTACGTTTTATATAACCACAATAAACAGGAAGAACTTGTCTATTACTTGGACCTGGGTAGCCACTTGGTGCTATCATTTACAACTGTATTCTCTCCGTTTTCTGCCGTGAGGGGGTGGTAAACCTTATTTTGCTTTTGTTTAATAAAATCTTACTATATTAAAATTTGCATATATAGTTCTTAAAGCGACTTTATAGGAGACGTCAAAAAATTGTTTTTTAGTAATGATTAAAACTCGTTGAAATTTTCAACTGTGCGCTAAAATATTCACTAAATTTATCTTAATGGGCATTATTGACAGGAATGTGTTTTTGCGATTTTTTTTTAAATTTCTAATATAAATTTAAGGTCAATAACATCTGGTTTTAGTATTTTCCAATATTTATTGTTCCGCGGTAAAATGTGAATATTTAAAAACCCGAATAAAGCTGATTGAAAAAAGCAATAAGTCTGTTAAATATATATTTTATACGCGAAGATTAAATTCTGTTATTTATTTACATAATCTTCACCAGCGTTACAAACATCAGTTTCTCTAAGGACCATATAAAACACCTACACTTCCACAACTGGTCCGGTGAACTTACCCAACGTTTATTTATAGCCGTACGTCTGGTTCGTTGAACGTACCAAACGTTTATTTATAGCCGTACGTCTGGTTCGTTGAACTTACC